CTCTTCAGATAGATAGTCTTTTCGAGAAGGTGCAGTCAGAGCGTTCCTTGGAGGCAAAGGAGCTAAAGCTTTATCTCACACACTTTGGGCGAGTTGCTAGGAGAAGTTAGTTCTTGGAGAGGGACACCATGCTTGGAAAGGTGGAGGGCTGGCAAAAGACAGGAAGACCCCCAAGCAGATGGGCTGACCCGGTGACTGCAGCGATGGGCTCGAGTCTGTCCGAGCTGGTGAGGACGGCCCGGAACAGGGCAGGGCAGGGTTCAGATCTCTTGTCCCAAGGGTTGCTGTGGGTCATACTCAACACCTAACAACAATAACAAACGTTACCAAGTGTGATATCATCAAAATCAAAACCTAAACCCAATGCTGACGAGTCAGTTCAGACTCAGAGCGAGCTTGTAAGATAGCATTAAGCTGCTCCACAGGGTGTTTGAGGCCGTACGTAGTATAGAAGCACGCTGCTGTGTCGTTTCTCCCTGAATCAGACGGTGGGCCACAACTATTGACTTTTTGGTTCATATTCTAGTGTTTTAACTGCTGAGCCAATAAGGATTTAATAAAAATCAACCACTCCAAGTGGCTCCCTGGTGCCGGGTGGTCCCTGGGAAGCCAGGCTGTGAGCCTGCGTGCCTCCCTGCCCCCCCACCCAGGGCATTGTCCCTTTGCTCTTTATGGACCTTGGATCACCCAAGTTCTTGCTGAGTCCTGACACGGCAAAGCCAAGGGCCACAGCTCTGAATGCAGCCGCTCGAACGCTTTCTGTTTCAGAGCAATCCTGAGAGCCAGCACGGTGTCTGTGAAAACAGAGCACACTGTCTTCCCTGCCTGAGCGCTGCAGGTGCCGCCTGGACTGGACGGTGCCCCCCACATGGCTGGCCAGCTGGCACTGTGCTGGTGGCGCCGTGCCAGGCGGCGAGGCTGCCCTTGAACGTGAGGGCACCCGCCTGACTCCAGCCTGTTCCTTGAGGCTGTGCGTCAGCTGTGAGCGCTGGCACGTGGCTGACTTGTGCCCCTCCCTGTAAAAAAGAACCTTGAAGACCCTAACCTCCAGGACCTGCGAGGGGGACCTTGTCTGGAAGTAGTCTTCAGTGACACTATCACTTAGGCTACCAGGAGGTCTTGCTGGAGTATGTGGTCAGGTGACGTCAAGTCGCATGCTGTGAACACGGCTCTGAACCCTGTCCTGCCCTGCACCGTCCTCATGGTCTGTGACACGCTGGAGCCCAGTGTTGCAATCACGATGTCAGTCCATCTCATTGAGGGACAAGGGGATCCCAATCCTGTATGAAGGGGTCCTAGGGCACTGATTAAGGACACAGCTGCTCTCTGAAAGGTCAGTGGTTCAAACCCACCTGCTGCTTTGTAGGAGGAAAGGCCTGGTGATCTGAATAGGTCCGGTTCTTTCAGTCCTCCAGGGCTGCTTTAAGCTGGAACGGACCCAATGGCATGTATCAACAACAGTAATCCTGTGGGAGTGATGTGTTATAAGATGTCAGGAATGGGAACAGGAGAGAGGGGCGCCATACAGTGCTTTTACACGGAGCCACTAGGAGCCAGGGAGGGCCATGAGAGCATCTCTGTAGAGCCCTCGGAAGGAACGAGCCCGGCCCTAGCTGGGACTTCGACCACTTGGTCGTATTGTGCGGTTAGTCCTCGGACACGAGGGCAGCTGGTTTCCCTCCAGAGGCTGAGAAGGTGAAGCCCGTTCCCAGCAGGGTTGAGTTAGGAGCTGACTCTGCACTTCTCCGGGGAGGTGGAGGCTGCTCCGGGCTCCGAGAAGGCAGAGGGCTGCAGCTTCAGGAACAGGTGGGCTGTGTGTGAGGTCACGGGTAGAGCTTTTCCAATTTGGGACTCCCTCACCTCCCCTCCAACACGCACAGGTCTTCACGTTCCTTCATGGTGAGCCCCCGCATGTCCTCCTGCCTTGGGCTGCAGGCCTTCCTCACCAGCTAGGGCATGCCTCGCTCTGCGTACGCCACTGTAGCATCTCAGCCACTTCCCTCTGCTGAAGCTTGTTGCAATTAGCACCCATTGTTAAAGAATTTGACTGCCAACTAAAAGGTTGGCTGTTCAGACCCACCAGTGGCTCTGAGGGAGAAAAATTTACAGTCTTGGACACCCTACATGGCAGTTCCATAGGCTTTTTTAAAAAAAAACATTATTTTTATCATTGCATTATTTTTTAATCATTCACTCATTTCGAGGCCACCAGCTGTTCCATGGGAGAAGGATGGGGAATCTTCTGCCTCTGAAAACGTGCCAGAGGGTCAGCTATTAGTAGGTTCTGACGTGATAGTATGTAACAACAGCAATAATACAATTATTAGGCGATAGATACTTTGTGCATGGTGCTCTATTAAGCACTTTAAATACTCTTATTTAATTTTATCAACATCTTGATACTGTTGTCATTAGATGCAATCTAGTAGCAGGAGTGGAATCCACTTCCTAAACAACATGCCTCCGGAAACTCTATGAACTTTGATAAATGTCGATAATTGTAGAGGGACTTCAGTCCTTTTGTTCAGAGGGCCGCTATGAGTCGTGCTCAACTTGAAGGCTGTCAACAACAACAACATCAACAACAGTAGCACCCAGCTCGTGACCATCTCATGCACAACAGCGCAAGCCCCGCCTGACCCTACATGCCGTCCCTGTGATTGGTTGTAGCTCAGCCCCTTGTCATCTGTAGGGCTGCTGGTGGCTAACTTAAAGACCACCAGGCCTTCCTTCCTCGCCCATCGTAGCGTGGAAGCTCCACTCAAACTAATTCAGCATCAGAGCAAAACTCAAGCCTCCAGTAGCCAATGGTGGTGGCTGCGTTTGAGCCTCAGCTGGAAGTCAATGCTGGATTGCCTGCGTGGAAGACCAGGGAGCTCTGGTGGTTTATGATCTGTGTGAACTCTGAAGTGTGGCCAAGAAGGCAAGCCTGTTCCTTGGGTGCATGCCCCCACAATCACAGCACAGACAATTTGTTTTAGTAAAAAAGAATATAAAAAAAATTAAACCCATAAAAAAGCCATGTTCTCATTCTGGCAGTATTTTTTCTGTTCATCTTTGTCTTTTAATTTAAAAAGTTGGGGAGTTTTTTTTTTAGAAGGAGACACTCTTTTCTTCTATCAAACTTCCTTTACCTCTTCCAAGAAGCATATTGAATCTGATTGTTAATGTGGTTGTCAGGGGAGGGTACTACCAACACAAAGACAGGGGGTTCAAATCAGCTAGCGGCTCCGTGGGATAAAGATGGGCAGGCTTCTCCCAGGTGATTTACTGCCTCTGAAAACCCACTGGAGGGACAGCTGTGGGTCAGTACTGAGTGGACAGTACACAGCGATGATGACAAACATGGAAAGTTAGGACCCTACACTGAGCCACCAGCGACTTAGACTCTGCAATTGTTGGGCACCTTTGGGTCAGTTACGACTTGTAGGGACTCTGTGAACAGCAATTGAAGTCTTGCCTGATCTCACAGAGTTCTCCATGCTCAAGTACACTGGTGCAGTCATCTTGTCCATCCATCTCCTCAGGGATCTTCCTCTCTCTAGATGACCTTCTACTCTTCCAAGTGTAATGTGCTTTCCAAGGACTGGCACTATGTAACAAATACCGTGTAACACTCTGGTCTGAGTGCTCCATCTCATGGACTCTTCTCAACTCTGATGATGTTGGTATTGTTTGGGTTGGTAGAGAAACCAGTCTTAGTGATTATTTACTTAATCACTTATTAATCTACCTGAGGCCTGTAGTTTATAAATTGAAGCGAGGGTTTGAATTGAGCTTCATCTGCCTGTGAAGCCTGGGTTCTTATATTGACCTTTGAGTTCTCATGTAAATTGTTCCTCCAACTCTTTGGGTCCTGGGACTAGAGGTATGCCTTGGGGCACTGTGGATTCTGTTCTAGGTTCTAGATCACTTAAATAAATATAAAAATAAAGTGAGTCACATGAATTTTTATGGTTTCCAAGTACACGTAAAATTATCTTTACACATAGACTGTGGTCTATGAAATGTGCTGAAAAGGTTTGAGATCTTGTGTTGTTGTTGTTGTGTGCTATCGAGTCTAAACTGATCGATAGCTGACCCTCCAGCAGGTTTTCAGAGGCAGTAAACTGCACACGAGAGGAGATTGCCCATCCTTCTCCTGCAGAACAGCTGGTGAATTTGAACCATGTGCCGTTGGGACGACAGCACAGCTTCTTACCACTAGGCCAACGTGTCGTTAGGAAGGCCCAGTCCTTGGAGAAAGACGTTGTGCTTGGAAAGATGGTGGGCCAGTGTAGGAGAGGAGACTCTCAACAAGACGGGTTGACACGGTGACCATAACAACGGACTCAAGTATACCAGAGATGGTGACAATGGCACAGGACAAGCCAAGGTTTCCACTTGTTCATAGGGTTGCTTTGCGTCACGTTAGTCATGGTGTGGCTTTTACAATCATGGCAGCTGTCAGCAGCGGCGGCATAGGGGGGCACTGGTGGGGCATAGACCTTGGGGAGTTGTGCTACTAACCCAAAGCACCGGCGCTTGTAGAGGCCTCTGGGGAAGCTGAGGCATCTAGGTCATCGGCAGAGGCAGGTAGAACTTCTCCAGAGCGTTTCCAAGGCTGTACATCATTATGGAAGCGGACAGCCTCATTGTTCTTCTGAGGAGCATTTGGTGGATTTGAACCATCAACCTTTTAGTTAGCAAACTAATGCTACCAGAGCTCTCGCCTTTTGAAAGGACCTCGCTCAGTTGTGTTTTTGTTTACTGTGATTTGAGTTAAAGTTGACAGAGTAGATTGGCATTCCATTCGACTGTTCAGACTCACATTATTTCCTGAGGTTGACTACCATCCCCATAGGCATCACCCCTCTTCCCCTCATCTCAAGGTGGTTTTTTTGTCTCCGTCAGTCTCTCTGTTTTCTCTCTTCCTACCTTCTGAGCTTTATCTTTGGACAGAGGGCTCTGTTGTGTTTCAAAATGCATCATCACAGTTGACTTTTTCTCTTGTTTTACAGATCGAGGCTCTGGTGAAGGACATGCAGAACCCAGAGACAGGAGTCCGAATGCAGAACCAGAGGGTCTTGGTGACCACTGTCCCTCATGCCATGACAGGTGATGTATCCTGAGGCTCAGTCTTGGTCTGAAACAGACCACACAATGGTTGGTGAACTCCACCCTGCACAGTGCACTCAGGAGAAGATTGTCACAGTAGCACCTGAAAGGGCAGGGCAGGGCAGGGGCACTCTGAAAACACTGTCCATTACTCACTGCTCTTTGGAGAGATACTCTGGTCTCTAGCCACAGTCCATGTTTGTAAATAAAGTTTTATTGGCACACTGTCACACCATATTGTTTGTGTCTTCTTCCAAAATACAGAATTGAGTAGTTGTGACAAGAGACCAGAGCTTTGGTGCTTCATAAAGTTGAACCTCTTGCTGTGTTCTTTACAGAGTATGTTTATTGACCCTGGACAGCATCCTCTTGAGGGAGGGGTCCAGGAAGAAGGAGAAGAGGACACTCAAGATTATTCCCTAAAGCATTCCCCCCAGGAGATCATGGTTAAAAGACTTCACCATTACTGCCTTTTGCTCATCTTGTGTATGTGGGTTTTTTAAAAAATGAAATCAGAAACAAAATATCATCTGAGAAAAATAGAAACGTCCCTCCCCTAGCCCCCCAAAAGGCCTTTGTCTTGCTCCACTGCCGTACCATCTCGGAGGAGCTGCGTCCAAGGCGCTCCTTGGAGGCAAGGTCGGTGAAACTTTATCTCATAGCCTTGGGGCACGTTGTCAGGAGGGACAAGTCTTTGGAAAAAATACATCATCCTGGGAAAAGTAGAGTGTCAGCAAAAGAGACGCATCCTCAGTGCCGGGTACAGTGATGCCAACAGTGGGCTTGAGCGTGGTGGACATTTGGAGTCAAGTTTTGAACTGTTCATAGGTAGTTGTAGTTGGCATGATGGCACCCAACAATAACAACAACAACAACAACATAACTTGCCCCATACCACTAGGATCACGTGTCACTGACCCTGGATTACAGCTCTGCAGTGTCACACCAGACAAAGGCCATAGTGAGTCAGTGGTAGAATTCTCACCCATTGTGTGGGCGACCACTGCTTACTGAAAGGTTGGCAGTTCGAGTCCACCAGCTGATGCTTGGGAGAAAGTCCATAGGAGGCAGTCTTCTCCAGTAAAGATTTACAGCCTCGGAAACTTGATGGGGGATTGTCATGAGTCAGAATCAGCTAAATTACAGTGGGTTATGTACGTAGGAGACCCAGGCCTGATTCTGGCAGGGTTCTTCATGCTCAGTTAACATCTGTCTGTCCATGGAAGCCAGTGCGTTGCCACGATGCTGAACAGTGTTCAGTGGCACTTCCAGGCCGAGAGGGACTAGGAAGAAAGGCCTGGAGATTTACTTGTGAAAAATCAATCAGTGGATCACAGTGGTCTCTATGGATGATAGTGGACCCTATGGATCATGGCGGTCCCTATAGATCATGGCAGTCCCTATAGATGATTGTGTTCACTGTGGATCATGGCGGACCCTATAGATCATGGTGGTCCCTATGGATCATGGGGGTCCCTATAGATCATGGCAGTCCCTATAGATGATTGTCTTCACTATGGATCATGGCGGACCCTATAGATGATTGTGTTCACTGTGGATCATGGTGGACCCTATGGATCATGGCGGTCCCTATAGATCATGGAGACCCCTATAGATCATGGTGGTCCCTATAGATGATTGTCTTCACTATGGATCATGGCGGTCCCTATGGGTGATGTGTTCCCTATGGATCACGGTGGTGCCTATGGATGGATCATGGTGGCCCAACATGTAACCAATAATGGAGACGCTGCAGGACCAGACAGTGTTTTGTCTTGGTGTTCACGGGGTCACCAAGAGCCCAGGGTTGATGCTGGCAGCTGGCCACCACATCTTGTCACTCCAGAGCACGTGCTTTTGTCTGCTGTCACTGTGTGCCAACTGCTTTTCTTCCTAGCCCTGTGGGTGCACTTGGACTTGGACAAGGCCCCCATCCTGTCTTGCCTGCCTTTATCCTCCTGCTGGGTGAATCTCAGCTATCGTAGACACAGAGCCCACAGAAAAGCCCTAATTCTGCAACGTGAACATTAGGAAAGGCAAGTCAGGTGGCCAACCATCTGTCCCCATGGGCTGACAGGTGCCCCGGGACTTCCTGGGCATGAAGGAAGCTGATGACAGAAGCCGTGTGCTGTCCGCACAGACCACACAGTGTAGACGTCGGCGGCTCCCCAGTCGGGTCTGCTCTATTTCAGGAAGCAGTCGAGTGCGTACGTGGAGAAACCCCTGGCTCCCGGGTGGAGACAGCCCATCAGTCTAATGACTGTCTGGGCCCCTTCTCGCTCTGCGCATCGTGGTGTAGCATTTAAAGTGAGACCGGAGTGTAAAGTCTGAAACAGCAAACCTGGCATTTAAAGCAGGACTGGCTATGAGGCATTGTTGCTAATTTGATCCCACTCATAGCGGGGAAAGGTCCTTGGAGAGGGACATCATGCTGGGTAGAGTGGAGGGACGGCACAAAAGGGGAAGACCCTCTATGAAGTGGATTGATTCAGTGACTGGGATAATCGGGATGGGTGTGTCGGAGGCAGTGTGACTGGCACAGGACAGAGCAGAGTTTAGGGCTGTTGTACGTAGGGTCGCTATGAGTCGCAAACAACTCGACGGCACATAACATAACAGCATAGCGACACCTGTCTCCTCACAGAGTAGAACCACAGTCCGTGGGGTTTTCATGCCTGTGACCCTGTGGAGGCCAATGACCAGGCTTTTCTTCTGAGGCACCTCTGGGTGGGTTTCAGCTGCCCATTCTTCTGCTGGCATCCCAGTGCTTAGTCATATGTGCCTCCCAGGGTTCTTTGTGAGGAGTGTGCCGGCTGGATGAGCACAGCTAAGAGCTATGGGAGGGCCCACTGAAGGCAAGAGCGGTGAGCGTGGGAGGGGGTATGCAGAAGGGCTGGACCTTTGGGCCCCGGGAGCAGATTTGGAGGGAAGAGCTACAGGCGTCCACACCCAGCCGTGACGGCGAGCAAGTCATTAACTAAGAGAGTGTATGAGCGGGCCTTCTGGGACTCTCTGGAAGGTTCCAGAAAATAATGCCCTTCATCATCTCCCAGCAGGAAAGTGTCATGGATGAATGCCCCAGGCCAGAACCTCTCCCTTGGGTCCTCCCTCCTTGGTATGGCTTACGGGAACCCCTCTGCTCCTTGGACACCAGACTTCGACTGCTGGCCTGTGTGGTCCCTGGTGTTTAGGAGAGGCCATCGGAGTTGGGGTGCCCGCCTTGCTTCTGAGGTGATGCCGTCTTTCTGTGAGGATCTCAGTCTGCTCACAGAGCCTGTCATACTTTGAGTTGCCGTTCTCATCTGTCAGTGGAGTAGGCTTCTGTTGAGATGTGAAGATGGACAGGTTTCAGCAGAGCTTCTGGACCAAGATAGCCTAGGAAGAGGGTGTGGAGATTCTATTGAGAAAAATCAGTCAGTAAAAACTGTGTGCATCACAATGGACTGATAGGCAGTGCACTGTGTGGCTGGCTCAGGAGCAGAGAGTCCCTGTCCTCTGTAGCCTCTATGCTTGTTGGCAGGACCTGGCTTGCCTGGTCCTGGGACTAACCCTGTGGCCCTGGGGAAGGGCGGGCCTGGGCTGGTGCTCTCTCGGGTGGCCTCTGCCTTCTCCCTGCTTGTGTTCACTCCACTGAGCATTAGTCCCAGGTCATCCCGTCGATTCACAGGGCTCAGGACAAGAGTGCAAGTGGAGACCAGGGAACCACGTGTCTGAGGTTGCAAATCACCCCACAAAGTGTAACCTCACTACGCCCATTCCTCCCCTCTTGACCGCCCTTAGAAAGATGTGGAAGGCTAGGCTGGAGTTCTGGGTAGAGAACTGCTGTCCCCCTTCCCACCTCTTCTCCTCTCACCCCAGCCCTGCTTTAATCCTGTGTGTGCAAGCTTCAGCCAAGCGCATTGTCATCAACTTGATTCTGACTTGTGGCATGTCTGTAGGACAGAGTGGACCTGCCCTGGTGTTCCCACAGGACAGAGTGGACCTGCCCTGGTGTTCCCACAGGACAGAGTGGACCTGCCCTGGTGTTCCCACAGGACACAGTGGACCTGCCCTAGTGTTCCCACAGGACACAGTGGACCTGCCCCACAGGGTTTCCAAGGCTGTAAATCGTTACAGAAGCTGCTGCCTCATCTTACTCCTTCAGAGCAACTGGCGGGCTCAAATCACTGACCAGCTGGCCAGAGCTCAATCCTTCAACTCCTGTGCCACCAGGGCTGCTTTTAAGCTCCATCCAGCGTCCCCCAAATATCCACCTCGGTTTGTGTGTGTTTCATTGTCAAGGCTTCGTCTCTTTTCTTTCTGGTGGATGAGTAGTAGGCTATGCACAGAGTATTAAAGGTAGAAAATGAGAGCCTCTCTGAGAGAGGTCAAAGTTGGGTGTCTAACGGGGGGATTAAGTTGGAAATCTCCCTGGAGCCAGAGCACAGATGGCACATGAAGTTCAGACGGAAGGAAATGGGGAGTCCGTGAAGGTTTAGGGCAGGACAGGGTTAAAGTTAGTTCTGTCTATCGAGTGGGGCAATGAGCCAGCCTTGTGGAGGAGGACGTGGCGTCTGGATGGTTGACAGGATGCTGTGACGATGGTCAAGCATTGTTGTCTTACAGGAAATGACATTCTACAGTGGATTGTCCAGCGACTGTGGATCTCCAGTCCAGGTGAGAGTCTGACTTCATGACTGAGCATTGCTGTGTGCACAGCGGGGTCCCTGGGCCATGCAGACAATGAATGGACTTCACTGCCAGGCCCTCTGGGTCTGGCTGGATGTGCCTCGCCTCGTGTATCTGCTCCACTTTCCAGCTCTTTTGACTCTGGATGCTAAAGACACACTCTAGTGCTTCTGAGTGGTAACCCAATCCCCTTGACCGTGGCACGCCCCGTTCTCCTGCCCTGTGGGCATGGCAGCTGCATTCTTTGGGCATTGAGCACTGTTCCTCATTTCCCCAAGGGACAAACTCACACTCTGCAACAAGTTGTCAAAGATCGGAGTCTTTGAAACCTAGGTGGCCCTACCCTTTGAAACAGAATCCTCCGTTTTCTGTGCACCGTTTAGCATCTCTGCTGCTCTCCAAGCTGCTGTAGATGGTCCTTCTCTTTGCCTGGAGGACAACAGATTTCCTGAATGCAGAATTACAACAGCCACCATTGTTCTGTCTCTCCTCCCTGTTCTTTTTCTGCCCTCCCATGTCTAACCAGATGGGTTTCCTGTGATGACACTTGGTTGGCTCCATCTGGCTTAACCTTGTTAACAAAGAATTATTTAAAGAGCCACATTCTTGGTTAATAATATTCCAAGACGCGTCCTTAGTTTGCACAACACAGTTTTTCAAATCTTTAGGCTCTATTTTTATTTTGCACAGGTCATCTGTGTGGGTTTTTATTAAAATAATGAACATTTCTTTAAAATTATTTCAAAAGGGACGAGTATCCTTTTTGGTCTAGAAAGACGACTGATAAAGCAGCCCTTCTAGCTGGCAGGGATCCTTTTCCTTCTTTGCTTAGAAGGACAATTTGAGAAAGATTTTTTTTAATTAGTTTTTAGATTGTAAAATGTAATTGGTATGAAAGTTTGCAGAAGGCCTTAGATATTTTTTCCAGTCGATCATTCATACATATTTTGTTACATACAATTTAGTACATACAATTTAGTTGCAATACATAAAATTTCTGGTCTCGTTCTTTCCACGCCGCCCTTCCCTTCTCCCGTCTCAATACACTGCTCATTGTCTGTGCACGAATTTTCTCCTCTTCCCCCCCTCACCCCCCGGGAACCATACTAGATGGATTCTCTTCATATGAATAGGGAGCTCTTCTCAGACCTGCGAGTCACCCTTGTGCAGGGGCGACACTCATCTCTATTGTTCCAGCTGTACAGGCCACTTTTGTTTTTTTGGGTTTTTTTTTTTGTAAGGTTGAGTATCTGTTTTATTTATAATTCTGAGAATAAAAAAATTATTAGTACCAAATTAATTACAGAAAAGTCCGTCACCAAAAATTGCTTCAAATTACCACCTGAATGGACTCAGTCAATTCTAAAGATTCTCATTTGGCATATCCAATCACTACTGGTCTCAAGGAAGACTTAAACATCTTCAGTTTTACAATATTTGATAGAGTATTCCCAAATAAGACATAATATTCATATTTTGATCAATTAGAGGGATGGACAATCTCCTCCCATGCAGTTAACTGCCTCTGAAGTCCCTCTGGAGGGTCAGCTATTGTCGGTTTCAACCCTATGGTACACCACCACCACCACCACCACAACAACAACAGCTGAGTTTTAGTAGGATGGAGTTTCAGAGTTTTAGGAATAGAAAATCCATAAACTCTTGACACCACAATACCTCTCACAGCTGCTCTCCATTGTGTTTGTACAGGCCACTTTTAAGTCCGTCTTTTTTCCTCTCACATTTCACCATAAATGTTAACAAAAAACCTTGCAGCTCCTTTAAAATCTTGCGTAGAATTCTCATCAAACAGATATCTGAGTTCATCACATATACAAGTTCTGCCTTCCATCAAATGTGAACATGACTCAGACAAGTTATTTGTCTTTCGATGAAAACCGTGGCCTTCTTCCACCACCTGTTCACAAGTTCACCCTTTTCTCTTAAAGACTCACTGGAAACACATTTAGGTCCACATCACTGGCTTCGTTCTGCTCATGCCGTGTGGATTCTCCAAATGACAAGACTTTCTCTCTAGCTCACCCCACTTCCTTCTCAGCCCTCGTCAGAACAGCCTTTGGGGTTCATATTCTGCCAGTCGTCTCCTACATGGAGTCTCCCCTTGCCATTGAGTCAGCCCCCCACTCATAGCAATTCTTCACCGGTTTCTGAGGTTGCGGATCTTAATGGAGCCAGCGATGGCCTTTCAGTTAGCAGCAAAGCATGCTGGGATCAAAGCCACCAGAATTTCCTTTAATGCGATCAAGGCTTTTACTACAGGGCATCTGAAACTCTTCCAGCTTTTATCTATTTTTTTAAGATAGGATAGTTTACTGCTAGCTAACAGCCTGTGTAACTCTCAATTCCAAAACTACTTCCACATTTTATATTTGTTAGAAGAGCACCTTGCTTTCCTGAGACCAGATTCTATTAATTATCTAGTGCTGCTGTAACCAAAAGACCACAAGGGGGTGGCTTTAACAAACAGGAATTTATTTTCTCAGTTTAGGAGGCTAGAAGACCACACACCACCCCCTGGGGAAGGTCTTTGTCTCTTCTGAACTTCTCCTCGCAATATTTGTGTGGTCATGTTTCTCTCTTCCCTCATCTCTGCTTTCTGGTGGTGGTGGGGGGTGTGTGTGTGGGAATCTCTTGTAAGATTTTATTTCAAGATACAGCCCACACTAATTCTGCTACATTAACATAACAAAGACCACCCATTCCCCAGTGGTTTATAACCACAGGCACAGAGATTAGGTGCACAACACATATTTTGCGAGATATTGTTGAATCAACAGCACAGGGAAATTGAGAACAGTGACTTCAGCTGAGTATGGCACAGGGAGAAGTGTGGTTGTGCCAGGAATGTTTGCAAACCCCAAGCTCCATTTGAGAGGCAGGAGGAACCTTGGGAGCTGTTTGACTGTGGCCACACATGTTAGCATCATACTGAATCTTGGAGGTTTGGCAGCTGTTTGAAGGGTGGATTGGTGCAGAAAGAATCTGGAGACCAACATTCCCACTAATAGAAGGGTGTTGGCAAAATAAAATAAATCAAATCTGGTTGTGATGTGAGTGGGCTTGAAGAGAACGGGTCAGGAAGGAAGTCTGCCCACATTGTAGAGGCTGAGCTGGCCAGGGATGCAGGTGGTCAGAGGGTCAGTGGGCTGGGTGAGCCCTGAGGGTTACCAGCGCTGCCTTCCCTCCTCTGCATGGGAGGATGTAGGCCTTTCTTGGTGCTTTGGTCATAACGGCTTCCAAGAAAGAACCGGGAAGGTGTTCCTTTAATAGCTGCACATTCAGAAACAAGATTAGGGGTGTGGGAATGAAAGTGAGGTGAGGATTGGTCCCGGGATGCAGATGAAGCTGGCAGTAACTTCCTTTTGAGTGAGGAGGAGTATGAGTCAAGCAGAATCATTCTCTCTCCATCCCTGTGAGGTCTTCTCCAGAGCCAGGAGCCTGAAGGATCTTCTCCAAAACCTTCCCAAGAGCCACCCTCGAATCACCTATGACATCAGTTAAAATTCGAGTCTACCAGATGCTCTGCTGGAGAAGGAGGGGCAGTCTCCTCCTGTACCAGTCAGATCCGATTTGAGAGTACATACACACACAAATAATAAAATAAACTAATTCACGGTCAAAGGCCCTCCTCGAGACACACTGAGCTGTCATTCTGGCCTGTGGCTGGGCATTCTCTTTGCACGTCCTTGCTGATACGTGACACAGCCAGGTCTGAGGCCCACTGTCCTTGGATGCAATGCTATGTGATGGGGCACATCTGAGGCTAGGGGTGGACTGTGGTGGTCAGACTGTGCGGTGTCTGTCTCTGGCACCTGCTCTTACTTTGATGTCTGAACTGCTTCCTCTCAGAGGCCCAGAATTTGGGAAACTTTATTGTCAAATATGGCTACATCTATCCCCTGCAAGACCCCAAGAATCTCGTTCTCAAGCCCGATGGCAGCCTCTACCGATTCCAGGTGAGTTTTGCTCCTTGACTTTGGGTGTTACCTCCGAGGGTTGTCATGTTACTGAGAAGATAAGTGACTTGCTTCCTGTGGTGAGAGATTTGGAATTCTGAAGTGCTGGAAGGGGCTGAGTCGTAGAGTCACCTCTTGCGAGTCGCAGAGTTGGGGGAGCATGGAGTTAGGAGCGAGCGTCTAAGCATGGCCTCCTTGGTTTCTTTCTTAGACACCGTACTTCTGGCCCACCCAGCAGTGGCCAGCTGAAGATACAGACTACGGTAAGACAGTCCCTGCGTGTGTGCCGTGCTTGGCATGCTATTTGTTTACTTGCTGCATTTTGGTAACTTTTGTCTGGCTGTCACTGTGACCTTTACATCAGTTCACATCTGTGCTGGGAGAGTCCCTTGGGGGGGGGGGAAGGAACCCTGTCTGCCGAATGATTTCTCCACCCCGCTGAGCATAGCATCCTCGTGCATAAGGAGGCTGCAGATGTGGTTCTGAATTACGATGATGATGATGATGGAAACACTGCTGACTTATTTTTCCAGCCATCTATCTAGCCAAGCGGAATATCAAGAAGAAAGGGATTTTGGAAGAATATGAAAAGGTATGAAGATGATTTTCCCTCTCTGCTGCTCTGCTGTTAAATTTTCTGTCTTCTTCCTCTACCCCAACCTGCTTTCCTGAATCAGATTTGGAGTTGTATTTCTTTTCTCAAGACAGATCCAAGGAAAGTCAGGGGGTGTGGGGAAGGTTTTCCGAGAGTCCTGTGCTGCCCCTCGCGTGGATGCCATTGCAGGGCTGGGGTTGGGGTTGGTTTGTCTGGGTTGGGGCTGCAGTGAAGCCAAGGGCATGCCCTGGTGGGCTTAGACTTCCTGGCCTGCTGCACACACACTGCTCATTCCTCATTCTGCTACAGACACACACACACACACACACACACACACACACACACACACACACCTCATTCTGCTACAGACAGACAGACACACACACACGGAGCTCATTCTGCTACAGACAGACAGACAGACAGACACACACGGAGCTCATTCTGCTACAGACACAGACAGACAGACAGACACACACACACGGAGCTCATTCTGCTACAGACAGACAGACACACACACGGATGGAGCTCGTTCCTCATTCTGCTTTCTTTCTCCAGGAAAATTACAATTTCTTGAACAAAAAGATTAACTACAAGTGGGACTTTGTCATCATGCAGGCCAAGGAGCAGTACAGGTGAGTGCGCGGAGTCACGTGGCCTCCACTCTGCTTGGCCTCCCTGCCCCTCCCCGCCCCCTTCCGTTCCCTTCTGTTTAAAGAATTCCTTTGGGACCCTTAATGTGCTGAGCGTTGAACACAGCGAACAGAAAGACTCAGCCCATATATCGTATATCATCTTGCCTTTCCTTTACTGCTCACATCTTTTCTTCCTCTTGTGTTGCTTGGAACAGTACAAAGAACCACCATCCACCCCCATCTTCACCCTTCATGTCTGGTCAGTCCTTTGGTACTGCTGATGAACCTGACCTCTTCCGACTGCCTCCACGGCCCTTGCCCTGGCCACACCGACCTCCCAGCCAGCCTCCTTGTTCCAATCTTACTTCCATTTTTCAAAATAGATCACATCACATCCTTCAGTGAAGCCATCAAAGAGGTCTCAGTTCATCACTGTCCCAAAGATGCACTGCTGATTACCAACTGCTGTATAAAAATCACCGGGATAAGGATCCAAGAGGGATGGGAGAGGGTGGAAGCAGAGGGCTGAGGATGGGGGGCGGGGGGGGCGCGGGAACTAATTATGGGGTTGTACAATTTGATGGGAGGGTGAGGGAAATTGAAAGAATTTGTTCTTGAAAACAATGTATTCTACTTTGTAAGTAAACTAGTTGTTGTTGTTCTGTGCTGTTGAGTCACTTGAGACTCATAGCGACCCTATGTACAACAGCCCTAAACTCTGCCCTATCCTATGCCAATCTCACTGTCTCCAACACACCTGCCCCCATTACCCCAGTCACTGAATCAGTCCATCTCATCGAGGGTCTTCCTCTCCTGTGCTGTCCTTCCACCCTCCCAAGCATGACATCCATCTCCAAGAACTGGTCCCTCCTTGCAACATGTCCAAAGTATGTCAGACTGAGCTTCAGAATCCTTGTCTCCAAGGAGCAGCTTGGCTTTACCCTCTCCAGGACAAACCGGTTTGTTTCCCTAGCAGTCCATGGTATATTCAATACTCTTCTCCAACGCCACAGCTCAAACTAGTAGTAAAGAAAAAAAAATAAAGTCAGGAAAAAATGTGAAAAAAATAATCACTGATAATTTAGTGGCCCAAAATAGCAACAATCATTTTATTATCTCTCGCAGTTTCTGTGGGCAAGAATTCACGAAGAACTCAGTTGGGAAATTGTAGCAAGTCTTCGCCTGGTTGCAGTTAAACCAGGGGCTAGTTGGGCACTTCTTGTGTTCCTCTTGTCATCCCACGATATTTTAGCTGGGACTTCCTTACAATATAACTGCACATGTAGTTAGATGGGATACACACAACTGAAGACGCGTATCAAGGTTTGGTGGCCTCCTGGTAGAGAAGACACGTATCAGGAGCAAATCTTGCCGGCGAGCTCTGGTGGCCTAGTGGCAGGAAACTGCACTGCAATCCCAGAGGTGCTCAGTTCAAATCCACCAGATGCTCTGCTGAAGAAGGAGGAACAATTGCCTCCTCTACCAGTCAGATCCAATTTGATGGTACACACATTAAAAAAAAAAAAAGGAGCAAATCTTCCAATGAGGAAGGTGACAGGTGTCCCACCTTGGTTAGCCTGACCTCACGAGTCACCCAACCCCATTTCTGCCATGTTGTGTCCGGAATAGTCAGGAAAGCTAACTCAATTTCAAAAGGAAGAGGCATCTCTGGGAAAAAATGTCTGAGAATCTGTAGACAAGTTTACAAATCACCACTGGAGTCATTCCTGCTTTGGCATTCTAGTATCATGAACATTTTTCCATGATTGGAAAGGGTACAATTTATAATTCTGTATTTCCTAATTAATTGTGTATTCCTCAGACTGCAAGCTATCCTACTGCAGGGACTGTGTCTTTAGTTTGATGTGATACTCTCAGTGCCTAAAACATCATAAACCGTCAGTAGGTACATGCATGAATAAATGAATGGATGGACGATTTCATAAACAGACTGTTAAGACAATGAGCTGATTTCTAGTTAACTGGCTCCCCCTGATTTCATTCATCACAGCTCTCCTTCAGAATCACAGAACAGCAAACAAGCAAAGCTAGAAAGGACCATTGTGTAGCTACACAATTAATTCTGTTTACAAGGCTGCCCAGTGTTGTGGAAACTCCATAGTGCCTCAGGGCCTGTGTGGTTCATCCTTCTGAAAACACGGGCTTGTTAGCTGCTAGAAAATCCAGTTAGGTTGGCAAATTGAAGTTGGAGCTACTATGTTTATATTTAATGTCTGGATGAGGTTGGCCAAACACCCCTTTGGGATGTCCCTATTCAACCCATCTGGCTTGCTGGGTGTTATTCACAGTTTATTAGCTGGAGAACAGATCCTCTGATTCGGTCGCTCAGAGAGCACGTGCCTCATCCCAGTTACCTGGGAAAACAAGCAGTGCCGAGCGTGAGCTCAGATCACGATGGGAATGGTACCGAGTGAGGCCCTTTAGGTGGTCATTTGATCATTTACTGTTACCTTTCTCCTGTAGAAGAAAAGCCCATGATGGGAGAGGGGAAGCCTGGACAGGAGGGAAGAGAGATAGCTTGGTACAGTTGCCAGCTGGTTGAGAAAAAGCCCTGCTTGGCGTGAACTCTTTGGAGTGATGGAGAGGAAATGACAGGCAGGGGAGAAGGAGGACTCCTGGGGCCAGCATTTTCCCCTCACAGGCTCGGGCTTTGCTTGCTGCCCACTTGTTCACATGTTGATTATGTTTGCCCAAACGGGAAAAAATGATGAGGCCAGGTGGTCAAATGCCAGCCCAGGATTTTATCCCTTTCTTTCTCTTACAGTGATTTGACTGCACTGCAGCTCAGTGTCATCCGTCAGTGTAGACTCTGGGTTGGACCTCCTCCACCTCCACCATCTCCATCACCTCTTCCACCTCTGCCACCCCCACCTCGCTGTCCCGATTGCCTTCAGCACCTCGACCACTCCATGACCTCCACTTTCATTGCTGCCTTCTCCACCCACTGCCTGACCACCTCCACCACTTCCAGGGTTCCCATCACTGCTATCACGTCAGTCACCTCTGCTACCTCCTTCCTGACGTCCCACTGTCCTCACCACCGCTCCTCGCACCACTCCCCCATCACCTTCACTATCCCCATCTTCGTTATCTCTGTGACCTTCACCTCTGCCATCACCCCCACCTCCACTATTTCTACCCCTCCTTTATTTCCATCACATCTTCCACCCCAACACCTTCACCATCCGTAACAACTCCCCTGCTCACGACATCACTACTTGACCACCACAACCTCCACCATCTCAGCCATGCCCACTGACCCCCACCATCTCCACCACATCCACTGACCTCCACCGTCTACACCATGCCCACTGACCCCCACCATCTCAGCCACGCCCACTGACCCCCACCATCTCCACCACGCCCACTGACCCCCACCATCTCAGCCACGCCCACTGACCCCCACCATCTCC